TTCATTAAAAGAAAGTTTAATGTTGTTGTCCTCGTTGAACATTGTCGATACTGGAGTATTATACAAAGATACATCAGCGTCAATTTTTGAGATCTGTAACAAATGTACTGTCTTGATCAGACAGGTGTATCTTGTAGTATTAAAGTTTTTTTTTAAATCAAGTTTGTCATTTACGTTGATTCGGATTGTTAACAAAAATGCCATAAAAAAACACATTTCATTTCACCCTGGTTGACACCTCGGACAATTTCAACGAAAAGTGGCGTTTTGCCATTAATATTATGTATTTTAAATCCAGCGAACCATTTTTTTTGGTAAAAAAGTCTTTGCAGTTCACCAATTACACTTTCGGAGTACTGCTCGTGGTTTACTAGTCAGTGGGATTCTCGACCACGCTTCAGCGCCCAAACATAATGACTTTTTCTTATTTTCCTACTGAAATAATCTGGGCTCCGAACAGTGTAATTATTTGAATCCTACACCCTGTTATTCGTGTGGATAAATGATATGACGAAGCTGCATTCGTTTTTGAGTCAATCGAAGTAATGGAAGGAAATTGCAGTGAATTTCAGTACAAGTGATGTGACCGTTCAAATACATTTGCTCGATTTCTCTCTTCTGCTATAATGTTGTGTGTCGTCACTTGATATAATACGGTGTATTTGAGGGGGGAAACAATTATGGCCCTCAGTGGGAATATCGTATTTTCCTGAGGTTAAGCATCACGGTCATATATAATATATATTATATATTATATATTATATATCCTATAAACGTGGCTTTGATGGCGTTCGTTGTTGTACGTTTGAAAATGACAGAAATTCGGGAGCATTTTCATGATATCTTTATTCCACTGAAATCCCGCAGTCGGGTTCTTGTGCAAGTCTACATATAATGAGGACTCGCACAACACCGCCTGGAAAAGAAACCGACTGCACCGCCCGACAGCTCAAAACAAAATCAGATCGCAGTTCTCACGCTGGACCGACATCGTGTTATATTGCACTGCTGCTCCTGAAATGTGGAGTGGACGGAATTAATCTAAAACATAGTCACAGCAATCTCGCACCGTGTCCCTGCAGGTGGAAGCTCGGCCCCCATTAGGTTTCACTTATGGAATATTTTTGCGCTGTCAAAACTTTTAAAAAAAAAGAATTCAGCGAATTCTTTTGATTTGGTCACTGCACTTGTGACTGCAATCCGTGCAAACACGATTTGATGTTAATCGGTCCCCAGTGGCTGTTACCTTTGAAGCGTTTAGTTTCCCGACTGAGGAAATGGTTTGCCTTTATTTATTTAGTTGCACTGAACCATCGCTCTTTTTGTTTTGACAATTGTCGACAGCTCTCGGTGAGAAGCATCCACTTCTGGAGCGGGGATTACACCACTGGGTCCCGTGCAAATGTCGCTGGAAAAGGGGTTAATGTCATTTAAACGGCGGTGGTGTAATATAAACAAATTGTACCGGTGTTGTGAGTGTTCCTGTGGGTTAAAGCCCCTGAGGTCGTGGCTACTTTTTTAAACTTCACGTTTTGAGGCGTTAATTTCGACAATCCCAATGTCTGTCACTTCTCTTTTGGTTTGGATTGATGAGGATCTGTCTTCGTTCCTAGAGATGGCGCACTTTTCCTGGAGAAAGAGACACTTTGGAACTTGCTCTTCGCAGCATTTCAGTGGCTGTGATGACCTGTCGAGGAGTGAAGTTGTTTGGAGCAGTTTTCTTTAGAACGTCGTAAAGGTAAACCCACAGACACCAGTTGTCGGTGATTCAGTCTCTGGGAATTCAATCACACCCACACCTACACCCACACACCTACACCTACACCCACACCCACACCTACACCTACACTCACACTCACACCTACACTCACACCCACACACCCACACCCACACCTACACCCACACCCACACCTACACTCACACCCACACACCTACACTCACACCCACACACCTACACCTACACCCACACACCTACACCTACACCCACACCCACACCCACACCTACACTCACACCCACACCCACACCCACACACCTACACTCACACCCACACACCCACACCCACACACCTACACCCACACACCTACACTCACACCCACACCCACACCTACACTCACACCCACACTCTCCCCTCTCCTCTCCTCTCTCCTTCCATTCCTCTCCACTCTCCTTCCATCCCTCTCTCCCCTCTCCTTCAATCCCCCTCTCCCCTCTCTTCATCCCCTCTCCCCTCTCCTTCCATCCCCTCTCCCACTCTCCTCCCATCCCCCTCCCCTCTCCTTCCACCCTCCTCTCCCCTCTCCTTCCATCCCCCTCTCCCCTCTCCTTCCATTCCTCTCCTTTCTCCTTCCATTCCCCTCTCCTCTCTCCTTCCATTCCTCTCCCTCTCCTTCCATCCCCCTCTCCCCTCTCCTTCCATCCCCCTCTCCCCTCTCCTTCCTCCCCCCTCCCCTCTCCTTCCATCCCCTCTCCACCCTCCTTCCATCCCCCTCTCCCCCTCTCCTTCCATCCCCCTCTCCTTCCATCCCCGTCCCCTCCCTCCTTCCATCCCCCTCTCCTCTCTCCTTCCATTCCTCTCCACTCTCCTTCCATCCCTCTCTCCCCTCTCCTTCCATCCCCCTCTCCCCTCTCCTTCCATCCCCCTCTCCTCCTCCTTCACATTCCCTGATCTTCTTTCCTATGTCAGACAGCAAGAGAGTGGGGAGAGTTTAGACTTTTCAAGGGAATTTTGACAAAACAACAGCATCAAACCACTGAAAAATGATGAGCTACTCTGATTCTTCAATAAATATGAATGAATTCCATTGCCTAATTTAAAATAATTCATTAAATATGTTGTCCTATTCTATTACGCTGCATATTGCAGTTGCAAAACAATTTGCAAAAGAACTTGAAGCTTGACATTCTGAAATTGAACAGTTTAACATTAATATTATTCTGTACCATCAGTAATTTGTTCTCCATGGAGCATGCAACTAACACTGAAAACATTAGTTTATTAGGTATGCTGGACTTCATCCAACGACATAATAATTATAATAATAATAATAATAATAATAATCCTTGCATTTGATATAGCGCTTTTCACGTCGGGAGGACGTCAAAGCGCTTCACAGAACACACTGTAAAGTGAATTGACTGTATATTTGTGGGCGAACGCGGCAGCCAATTGCGCACAGCAATGTCCCACAAACAGTCGTAGATTGAAAATGACCAATTTATTATTGTTTTGGTTTTGGAGGGATTATTATTAGGCTCTGTGTGGAGTAAGGAAACTTGCCCAAGGTTTCGCCCTCTGCCTGGAATTGAACTCAGGTCTCTCACTTGCAAAGCGAGTGCTCTAACCACTGAGACCACTGAGCTACAGGACTCCACATAAGTTTTATTTAGAGAAGTTTTATTTAGAGAAGCACATTCTTGCCTCCCATCTTAGCCTCAGGTACAACTCTGGTGAACATAATCAAATGCAAGGATTATTATTATTATAATTCTACCCAATTTAGCCGTACTAAAATCCCCCCCACCACACCACATGAGCACAACATAAAATGCTTCACAACCCCATAAATTTATGAAACGTGAAGTGAACCTTTTAGATGGGTTGCTGATTTATTATTTTTGCAATAACTCCTGTGCCACGCTGCACACCAAGCTGTTTTTTTTTTTGCCACAGGCTCACTGATTAGGACATACAGCTAACCGAGGACAACCAACCAATTCTAGTTTTTGAGGCAGGTTTGACTTGTAGTTATTTATATTCCCCACATTCCTTCAGTGCTGGTAAATCCAAGAAGCCTTATCTTGGATTACCCCCAAGTTATTCAGAGCAGTTGGAAAGAATTTAAGGGAGGTGGCTGCTTCTCCAGGGAGACCGGCCTGAACTGCTCTTGTCACTTGTCAGTAAAGGCAACTGATATCATGTGTCAAATGGAAGGTGTGAACAAGATACCTGTCCAACTGATCCTGGAATCATTTCGCTTCACTTCACTAAACACACATAACTTTAGGTTGTTGATCCTGTGCTGCTCAGAAGTAGCAATTATAAGTGAGAACACTTGTATTAAAAGTAACCCAAATCTTGGAAAGGTGAGACGTAAATCCTCGCTAACGATATTTAACTTGGTCCGAAATCCACCAGTTTTTGACATTTCAGTGTGTGATTTTTCTAATACAGTGAAGCATGTGATAAGACCGGTCTTTCCAGTTTTCTTGCAAAGGTGGTTTTGAAACTGGCCCTGACCAGAACACACTATTTACTTACTTTATGTGCCAGGGTTTCTTTGCCTGTTCATTTTGTAGCTAAGCTTCAAGTTTGCTCCAATTGCTCCAATTGCTCGTGTGATATATATTGTACAACACGATGCTATACCCATTGTTTCAAGCTATTTCCAAAGTTGATATGTGCAGCAGATGACACAAACAAGCGTACTGAAGGTAAGTTTCTGTCTTCGGTTTCAAGGATATCTATACTTGCTAGTGTTCAGAAGTAGATTAGATGCGTAAACGTGTGTTGGGTAATATTAATAAAGCAGAAAACTGGGAAATACTCGAACTATCAGCTGAAATAGTATTTGGTCTAATTGATTTATTACTGCACACGGTTGTGATCTTCTTTCATTTCGGCTTAACTGCAATAGGTGAGACCATGTGGGTTTGTACATTTAACAAAATTCTTGTTTAAAAGGATCAGTCAGTGAAAATATTTATCATCCCATCAGTGGATTGCTTCAGTCACTTACAAGTAATTTAATCCTTAAAGGTCTATAATCAGTTTTATAGCTAATCATAATTTTACCATATTTGCATTTGATATATAATACGAGGGTTATTTATATCATTTGTTTATAATATGCTTTAATAAGTCAAATACAATTAGATATCAATGGAAACGAAATTGATGTACAATCGTTCTAGTGATGCCATATAGTTTTTAATTGAACCTGTTCTCAGTTTTAATGAATGGTACAGAGTAATAATCCTTTCTTTTGGTATATTAAAGAAAGAACTAAAGGGCACCACTGGAACCATTGTATATCAATATATATATTTGGTCAGTCAGGTGTCTGGCACATGCAGAAACCCATCACTGTGCTTAAGTGTATCCACACCAAATGGAGGGACCAAACTAAACCTTGATTGTGTTTGCCTACGAAATACGTGGTCCCTCCACGACAAGGTATATTGTGTGAAGCACTTTGTGGTGCTAAACCAAATACATGGATTATTTATTATTATTATGCCACCTACAAGTGAAAGTTCCCATATTTGGCCAAGATACCATGCAAAGCTCTCTTTTTTCAAATAGTACCATGGGATCTTTAATATCTATGTCTATATAATATTTAATAATATTTAATGTCTATATAAGAAATATATAGCATTTCGCCCACAAATGTACAGTAAATTCACTTTACAGTCTATTCTGTGAAGCGCTTTGAGACTTCTAGAAGACGTGAAAAGCACTATATCAAATGCAAGGATTATTATTATCCCTGTGAATTGGCAGACAGGACTTTAGTTTAACTTCAGCCTCATTCGAAAATCAGCACCTCCACCAATGAAGTACTCCGCCAGTGGAGGGAGTCCTGTAGCTCAGTGGTTAGAGCACTCGCTTTGCAAGCGAGAGACCTGAGTTCAATTCCAGGCAGAGGGCGAAACCTCGGGCAAGTTTCCTTACTCCACACAGAGCCTAATAATAATCCCTCAAAACCCCNAAAAACAATAATAAAAATTGGTCATTTTCAATCTACGACTGTTGTGGGACATTGCTGTGCGCAATTGACTGCTGCGTTCGCCCACAAATATACAATCAATTCACTTTACAGTGTATTCTGTGAAGCGCTTTGGGACGTCCTCCCGACATGAAAAGCGCTATATCAAATGCAAGGATTATTATTATTATTATTATAATTATTATGTCGTTGGATGAAGTCCAGCATACCTAATAAACTAATGTTTTCAGTGTTAGTTGCATGCTCCATGGAGAACAAATTACTGATGGTACAGAATAATATTAATGTTAAACTGTTCAATTTCAGAATGTCAAGCTTCAAGTTGTTTTGTAAATTGTTTTGCAACTGCAATATGCAGCGTAATAGAATAGGACAACATATTTAATATGCAAGGATTATTATTATTATTATTATTAATGGATTTGAACATCAGCCTAGACTATGACCTCAAAGTCCCAACATGAACCCACAACCTTCTGATTTGGAGATGAGTGGTTTGAACTGAGGTAGACTGACATCCTGCCATATTATACATTTTGTCATACATTACAAGAAGAAGGGAAAAGCTGCTCTGAGCATTTAGTTTTATTTTAAAGTCAAAATTTTTACGATTCGTAAAAGAGAACAACATAATTTGCATTTATATAGCACCCTTCATGCATGGTAGGGTCTCAGACCACTTGTAGATGAGAGTTAATAAAATACAAAAATCAATGCTGATTAAATGCTTAATTCAACAGGGTTCCTTCTGTCAATTAGTACTCCTTAGTGTTCTTGACATTGCTTCATCAGCAATATCTATAAAATGTTGAGGCAGATTCTGAAATTTGCAGCTGCAGTACATATGTACAGTATAAGTAAATGTACCCCATATATTTAATGTTGTCCTTTATCATTTTTGGTTTATCTTATAGGTTTAAGAAGGAAATTTCGTTTCACACCGTAAAACAGATTAGCCAGATTGGTACCCAATGTAGTTTTTGGAATTTAAAATTGGAAATTAGAACATCCCTTCTGACCAAATTGGGTAAGTCAATATACACATAAAAATACACTTAGAACAGTACATTAGTATAGAAACTGGACACAGATATCCAGTAACCTAGCAAGTGACTCAGAAACAGACAACATCAACACAGACACATAGTGCCTACAACATCAAACATTTCAAATCATTTCAAGGTTGTATTGTCACATGTAATGCCTATCCAGTCAGGAGAGAGAAACTTGCATGTTACAGTAAAACTGTGAAATGATTTGAGCCCAATAAATCCAACAAATAATTATTAAAAAATTAACCTAATGAAAATTATTCCCTACTTCAATTGGCTCAGAGTGGTGATACAGTTTCAGGATTCTGTCCTACTTTTAAAGTTCAAATATATGGATAATTTGCAAAACCAGAGCTGATCTCAGTATCCAAACGTTAAAGCATATGCACTTTGTAAAGCTTTGCGGGGGGAGGGGTTAGTTTTTCATCATTAACGTGTTTCTGTAGCAAAATCTCAACATTTCTATTTACGATGAGTATCATGTTTTTCTTTGTACTCAGATATTTCAGGTAGTCTCATATCACTGCTAGATATCTGTGGTTTATTGGTATTTGAAATCTCTAGTCTAAAAAAGACAGAGGTCATTTTTTTAATCCACTTTCAAGAGGCTTGGTGCGATATTTGGAGTATTGTTTTATTTTTCCACACTGTAGAGGTAAAATCAGTAATGTATGAGTATTATTTGATGGTGTCCTTTATTCTAATGCAACTCTTTATTTATTTAGGTTAACTTAATCACAAAACGAGAAAAGGATGGATTTGAAACGTGTGAAAGAAACACTGTCTTGGCTTTATTATCAGTACTTACTTATCACATGTAGTTATGTCCTGGAGCCTTGGGAACAGACAATTTTTAATTCCTTTTTGTTCACCATTGTAGCAATGGTCCTGTACACAGCTTATGTCTTCATTCCAATCCACATTCGTCTGGCCCTAGAATTCTTTTCAGGCCTTGGAGGGAGTTGGCCTGAAAGCACTATCGCCATCATGACTTGACCCGTGTTCCACTTTAATATCGAGGCGATGGGTTTAAAATCTGCAAATCTGGTAGACAACTTTGGGAATAGGTTTTGAACTTATTTCACACCTGCACTATTATTTATCTTGCACCAAGTCTAGTACACCATACTAGGTTAAGGTGGTGGTCTGAAGATTAGTAGGAATGTTAATTCAATATAAAATTAGCTACAGAATAATAGTTTGGGTACTGGGAAACAAATATTTACTGATTAAATATATTGTCAAAACCCTCTTTCATGTTAATGTTTTCCCTTTGCTTTTTTTTGTTGACCATTTTATTGCAAGACTAGGATTGTTTTCTCGTTTTAAACTTGCTCGACTGGCTTCTTTGACTGTCTGAAATTGTGAAATATAAGTTTGCATTAACATTCCAACTTAAAGCAAGTTCAGGCATGTATTATAAAGTCATTAGAAAATGACTTCTGGATACCTTGATTTTATTTTTATAAACTCTTGTTACTTTGCTTCCTGCAAATAATGAGCATGTGTTTGTATGAATGAGGATTTTTTCCATGTAATTCAAATAACTTCATATTACTGTGACTTTTTTTAAGACACTTTACAAATTTAAAATTTCATTTTCAAGATGTTTGTTTCATAGACATGATACCAAACAAAGCCTGAAATGTATGTACATGTTTATTCCATATCTATCTTAGGCACCCTTCTTGTGAAAGAATATGGGCAATGCCAGTGATGTTAATAAACAAGTTACAGGAAACTGTAAATGTATACATCACGGATAAAGCACTAGGCAAGTTTCCCACCAAAACGATGTGAATGTATTTATATCTGTTTAAAGTGTCACTGTTTGTATGTTTATAACTGTACACACACCAGATCCAGTAGATAATTGTCACAAAAACAAATTTGCCTGCTGTTCTGAGAAATACGTTGCAGATAATGTTTTTCCTTACTGTATTATTCAGCAAAATGGTTGTAAGTTTCAGATTTCAATAAAACTCATTAAGGATATCAGCTTCCTCATTTTTCTATATTTTAGTGTTATCCTCATCCATATTTCCAAATTAGAACCAAATGTTTCACGTTGTGACAATATGTGAAAATATGCAGTTGTTTCTACAGCTCATGCACAAACCCCTCCTGAACCTCACACCATCAACTGGATAATTTTCTATTGAGAAGATGGATATATGTATGTGCCACAATGTTAGGAAACCTTACAAGCCATTTAAAACACGTTTATCAAATGGAAAAAAAGTCTCATTGATTTCAATGGAATCCAATGCTGCTTAATTTCCTTGATAAGAGATAAAAAGAAGACTGGTGCCTGCAGTCTGTTTGTGCTTTGAGGATAGGGGCAAAGCCACTGGATTATTCCCTTTCTGTTGGTGCCTGTGTCAATGCCTGAATCATCAATTGCTGCTCAAAAACTGTTGCAGCATATTCATGTTGTCCTTGAACTGATTTCCACAGGGTCTCAATACCTGCAATATTTGGGAAGAAAAGGAAGGCCTGCTTTTGCAAACTGGCATAATAGTATTCTAAAGTCTAACATAAAGGATCCCACAAACCATTCTGTTGCACAGTGAAGAACATTGAACTTGAAGTTAACTCTGCACATATAAAGCAAATGCTTTCACTCGTCAGCTGAAAGTGCTCTGGGACAATACCCTGCTTGGAGTTTCTCCCAGTGTCTTGGCCAAGAATCCCCTAAATCAATTAGTCACTGACTTCATGGCTGTTTGTGCAACCGGCTGCCACACTTTGCCCACAATATACACAGGCAAAACCACTTGACCGTATATCCTGTGAAGTGCTTTGAGACGGCTCAATGATGTGATAAGGCGCTAGATCAAATGCAAAGTTTTTTTTTATTTTAGCATACAATTACTTCGCAAACTCTGAAAATAGGTGAATGAAACTTATTTCAATTGCCAGTAACCAAAAAAAAGTCTCCCCGAAAGTCCTCGCTGAATATTGAGATAGAGGCAGTGACGTATAAAATTTATCAATTACACTTCAGTATTTGTGTTATACTTTTGACAAATCTAGTACTGCCCAGCATCAAGGACATAGTCAATGACAGCCAAGTAGTTAACTTCTAATGAGGATTTATTAAAAGCTAAATGATAGTTTTTTTATTCTAAATAGCATAGCTAAGTCCCTGTAATGCATTATTCTTTACCTTACGAATGAGAAGAGTGGTGATTACTGTTGTATTAGATTTTGCACCTGACAGTAATTATAGCATGAAAACCTAATTATTCTTTTATTATTACCGATAATGGGTATTAGTTAAGGCTGAAATATTCTGCTTCCAGGTAGGAAGCAGCATGTAAATATTTGTCCCATTCCTCAAACACTCCTGTTTTGCTTTGAATTTTGAAGGTCAGATGCTCTCTTTCAGAGTGATTTCCAATAACCGCTGTAAATATATTTGACCAAAAATACACCATAATGTGTTGTTTTCTCAATCACATAGTAATTTCTTTTCGTACCTCTTCTTTACTGCCAGAATCATGACCCTTGAATATCCTTGGTCCTTATTAGTGCAATGTAAGACGGTGCCCAGTCTCGCAGAGATAAATATTAATCTCCCTCTATGTTACAAGGCAACAACGGGTACCCTTGTGACCTCGAGTCAACCTCAATGGGTAATTGAATTTAATGTTGCATTTCTAACTGACCTCAGATGCTTTCAGCCACTGTGCCCCGAGGCTCTGGAACTGCCTTCCTCACTCTCTTCGCCTCGCTCCCTCCCTTCCCATTTTCAGGTCTCTGCTGAAGACCTTTCTTTTCGACCGCGCCTTTGGTCACCTTCCCCCCCCTCCCCCCCGGCTCGGCCCCGGGATCCGTTACTGTGAAGCGCTCTGAGACGTCGTCCGGCGTGGAGGGCGCTACATAAATCCAAGTTGTTGTTGTTGTTGAAGCTTGATTTCTCCTGCACATTCTGTTGCAGATTTTGGTAGGGAATTGCTGTCAGGTTGCAGTGATTCATCACCAAAAATACAGTTGAAACAAGTCCGAAAGCCAGATGTCTTATCAGTCTAAATACTAAAACTACACAGGCAGGGCATCATGAGTACATGAAAGAACAACCAATCTTGGGATCTGTTTTGGGTGATCCTTCCTTATGCTTATCTTCTATTTCAACATTGAGTCAACACAGTTTTTCACATCCTATTATTGCTAAAATTATAATATAAATCAATTAAATTCAAGCCCCATTTCCTGAAACCACAATGTTGTTTACCAGTTATCCTGAGACTTCGTAAGTTCCTCATTCAAAATACTTTATTGAGGGGAATGCAGGGAAGAATTTAATTGAGAGGAATGCATGCTTGATTTATTTATTCATTCTTCGCTGTTCAGTACTCCCTTTAGAAAAAAATAGAAATATTCAGGTAAATAGACATGAAATTTTAATTTGCCTTTAAGTCTGTCCCTACCTTTAGCACATACACCAATAAACTAAGCATCCAAAGAATGATTGAGTAAATAGTATCTTGGTCTATCTTTCTGGTTTAATAGTTATTTGGGTGTTCCCTCTGCAATGTGAAATAATAAATCAATTTGTTTCACAATACATATGTATGTCTATTGATCATGGCCACTGTACAGAACAAAGTTAAGGCAGAATACAATCAGTAAGAGATTTAGACTCAGGTGCAGATAAGGAATGGTCACTTCTCAAGATGTAATGATACTATTGGCCATTAACAGAAGCTGGACATTCAAATGTCAAACTATTCCATGCCTCACTGACCACATCATAGATGGGAATTGAGGAGTGAAATTGATGAATTCAGAATACGACTTTTTTGGTCCTGACGTTAGAACGTAGATGAATATACAGTATTGGCGAGTTTCCAACTCACAATTTTCCTCAGAGTCATGATTTGGTTAAGTCATGATGTGCTTGATTCCATAATTCTTTGCTCATATGTAACTCAAAATCCCATTTGTCTGAAAAATCCAGGGCATCACTCTTAGGAGTACGAACGATTCATTCAGCACAATACAGTAAAAGCACTGACATAAGTGACTTTTCTGTGTCCCGTGACCATTTTGCATTCAATTGCCATATTAGTTTGACTTCATAGCGGTGTAACATTCTCCCCACGGTCTGCTCAACAATGCCTGTCTTCCGTTCCAATGTATTCAGTCTTTCTCATCTCACTTTTTTTCTTCTGACCTTGCCCTGGTGAAGTATGTGTTTAGAAGAAAAATCTCCACCGTTGATCCAGCTGTAATATCTTAGGGGGGGGGGGCGAAAAAAGATCAGATAGAAGCATTTGAACCACCTTTACTACCTGTTTACGAGAGATTCTTAATTTAAATGTCGCTCATTTTTAATACTGTCTTCCTGTGGCATACGTAGCCAGAGAGAAACCCACAGATTATAGAAAGATCATCATTGGTGATCAATGTATAATGATTTGTTCTTTTTTTAAAAAAAATCAGTGCAAGAGTAGTGTGTGAACCATTTAAATGAATGGAGCAATGAATGCAGGTGCCGTGGGAGAGCCTAAACACTAAAGGGCAGCAGTGAGTTCCAATAGCATTTCTCACCCAGTGTGGAGCAGACTGGAAGAGTTTGTATATAAAGGGGAAAAAATCTTCAGATTACTAAAAATCCGACAATTGTACACCGGGCGGATCAATGAGAAGATTAACTGTCCAAAACACTGAAAAACCTAGCAGTTTGTCATCTCTTATATTGCCCATAGGCCAGGAACTGACAAGAGTTGCATTTATGACTGTGGCAGAGTGGGTGGACAGATGCAATATGGCATTATTATATATTATTATTGAATGGAAATCAATTGCCCAGTTTTCCAGCTTATCCTGATTGTCCTTCTCTGTGGCACCCTTACATTATACAGCCAATAATTTGGGTAAATCCAACTCATTTTCTGTGCAACAATTTTCTCCAGACATTTAGCAAACCTTAATCATGATTGTGCAGATATCCATCCACTAAAATATTCCAATTATCATTATCTTAAATTACACATATCTAATGAGCTGCAAATTGACTTCCCATTCACTTCATGTGTTGAAGCTCTTTAGTATGACAGCAATTTACAGTTTAAGCATTAGCTGAACTAATTAAAATGGGCATTATTTTCTTCTTCAAACACAGAGCTCATTCCACCATTTTCAAGAATTTTTATGAATCCATGAGAGACCTCAATGTTAGCATAAGTTTGTATTTCTCAAAAGAAAGTGTAGGTTACTGATTTCAAACAAGAGGAAGAAATGGGAAGGGAAATATAAATATATTTTTATGTGTTGCTCTCGTTTCAGCAGTCAAAAATGATCAACACACAAATAGGATTCTTCAATAAATGCAAATCCTTTATTTTGTTTCTTTATTTCCTTCCATTTGACATCAGACCACTTTTTTGTAATTGGAGGTGTTTAATGGTAAAACATAATCTACACGAGCAAATAGATTACATCTGGTAATTTAAACTACCGAACATATAGCTGCTTTCAATAATTGTCTTCAGCAATTAACTCTGGTATTGAAAATTAGATCTTTGATTCTCATAATTCACTGCATGTTAATAGCATCTGGAACATATTACATTCAAGGGCAGCATTACCAAAATAAGCCCAGAAACCTGGAAGCCTACAGATTAGGAGATCAAATCAATTGTGGAAAGGTAGATATTATTTTTTGGGGGAGTTATATAATGCACCGCTGAACTTCAGAACCTGTCAAAAGTCCTGGAAAGATGTGCCTGAGCAGTCTATTGTAGTGTGTGGACTTGGCAGCGTGTCAGAAATGTCTTCATGGCATCAAGAAGATTGGCAAGGAGAAGATTGCTTTCAACTTCCACACTCACAGAGGAACAGAAGGTTCTGTCACTCGAAGGCTATGGATAATTGCATAGGAGAGAAAAGAACTTTTCCCTTTGGAGCCTTGGGAGTGCCTGGATAACCATGAGAGAGAGTACTGTTATAATGGCACTGATTATGCAGTCAAGTAGCTCTAACTG